TTATTATTATTATTATTATTTTGTTGTTGTAGTTGTCATGAATGAAGCTTGCAGCAAGGGGTACCTTCTGCTACTAAATATGCATTTATAAACATGATTGTGCCTTATGTGTTAGTTCATATATCCTATCTTTCTCTTATTTATTTTTCCCAATTTACAAGCTTTTATACTACAAAAAATAAAAGAACTACAAGAGCAATTGGAGGTGCACATACTAAAGGAGGTATGAAGTTCACATTTCTCTTGATTATATTATGCAATTTCTTTGATGAACTGATTTGATCATTCATTGCTATGAAGTTCACATTTCATGTTGACTTGGTCAAATTCTTTCTTATGGTTTTATTGTTTTATGGTTTCAGGCTGATCTGGAGAGAAACCTTTCACAATCACAAAAAGAAATAAACTCATTGCATCATAAAGTGGTGACTTATACAAATAACCAAAAGAATTGTTATAATTGTAAAAACTGCTACATATGTTTAATTATTTATTGTTAATTTGTTATATCCATTTGTGATTTGATCATCAGACTAAGTTTGAGACAAGAGCTTTATAGTTACAAACTGAAAAAAAAAGATTCATGGCTTCAGAAAGAGGTGAGTCTGATGATCAAATCACAAATGGATATAACAAATTAACAAGGGAACGAAGTATGTGGATCTACATATGGACCATCAGGTGTGATATTTAAGTAGGATAAGGTGGCAACTGAGTGTACGCAGCCATATCCATTAAGTTGCCATAGCCTGCAGCTGCATTCCTTTTTTTCAACATCAACAGTAAACGCCTCGTCCATTTTCCTTGCCTCAAACTTCATCCCCCCACAAGATATGACCTGCCAATGCCTACATATATAGATGAAAACCGCAAATATCATGAGATGTGAAGAGTTAGGTACTAATGTAATTGGATAAATGTACAAACCTTTGCTCAGTCTGGAGCATATTCAACCGTATTCTGATATTTGGACAAACAGAATAACGATTCCATCCTTGTCCGGTTAGTTTCATAGTCACCATCCTTTGCATCACATATATATGAATGTCCTCTAACATGCTTATTATTGGTTTCTTCCGGGCATCCAAAATCACACTATTAAAACTCTCTGAAAAACCATTCTCTACTGACTCACAAGAATTATGAACTCTGAAAAAAACCAAAGACCAAGTCTTTGGATCTCTATCCATAAGATGCACAACTGCTTCCGGATTTAATTTTCCAATCTCTTTCATAACTACATTAAATTGTGCTTCAGTTGTTGCCTTGCTCGCTTTCCAAAACAGATTTTCAAACTTGGATCCACTAAATCTCTTTCTAAAATTCGCATAGATATGTCTAGCACACTGCCTATGTTCGGCTGCTGGAAATACTTCCTTTACTGCCTCAATCAAACCCTACATAAGTCACATTAATGTTTGAAATTAGAATAACAATTAGTAATTTTAGAACATGCACTAGTTTTGAACCATACCTTGTGTTGATCCGAAATTAGAACCATACCATGTCCATCATTCCAACATTGCAAATCTTCTGAAAGAGTTTCTATGAACCATTTCCAATTCTCGTTGTTTTCCACACTAACAACTGCCCAAGCAATTGGGAATATTCCATTGTTAGCATCTCTACCCACAGCACAAAGCAACTCCCCTTGACAAAAAACTTTTCAGAAAACAACCATCTAGGTTAATGATCCTCCTACATCCTCCCCTCCATCCCTCTTTTACTGAAGCAAAACATATGTATATTTTGTTGAAATAATTCTTACCATCAGGCATTGAATCAACACAAACTTTAACTGTGGATCCAGGATTTGATCTTCTAATCTCCTCACCATATGACCATATTCTTGCATAATTTTCAGCTATTGTGCCTTCAGCTAGACTCAATGCATAATTCTTGGCTCGCCTACACTGACTCATACTCACATTAATCCCAAAAGCGGTTTTTACCTCCTCTCTAAGTAATCAGACGCTCATCTTTTGATTGTTATAAAATTTGGTGCTTAAAGTGGGTCCCTATCCATTTGTCAGTCACAATTGATCCGAATTTGAAAATTTTTGCACAATTATGCTCACCGATAAGAGACTTTATCTGGAAAGACTTATCAACACTCATCCAAGAACCCCAAAGCCTAAAAGTACATTTTCCATTACAGCATTTGACAAGTAATCGTCTAGTATCATTCTTCACAAAACATAATTGATAACCATTCGCAACAGCATAGTTACAAAGCATGTGTTTCAATGTCTTAGGACTCTCAAACCTCATACCGAAAACAGGTTCCTGCTCCTTCCAATTGAGCTTATCATTGAAAATGTTTAGCAATTCGGGATAGACATCTTCATTGTCACCCATGTCTTCTTCTACTGCCCCACCTACACCCGCTTTCTCACCCATGTCTACCTGAATCTCATTACCCTTTATAAAAAAATGAGGCTTCTGATGGTCATCCTCATCGTCATCGACATCCTCATCCTCGTCGTCATTATCGCCGCCATTCGCTTCCTCATCGCTTGTGTCACCCACATCCCGATGCCCTGTTGCAACTTCCTTATCCAGTCCTGCACCATCAAGTACTTCTTCCTGTACGTTACCAACAAACTCGTCTTTATGTTCATCCAACCATTCCTGTATGTTACTATTCCCAAAATGGTCTACATACATAGGGAGTATAGCACCACATTCATATGCAATTGCTATGAAGTCATAATAATCGGGGTCATTACAAATTAGAGTCAAACCTTTTGGAAAATCAATATCAGGTTGGCAGTAATAGAGCTTCTCACACTTTTCCCCAGTGAACCTTTCGATGAACGCAGCACACCCATCCTTGTCCATTCCTGCGAAATCGATGTCCGAAAACCTCTGAGTAATTCCACTGGTGTAGCGTATGGGGTTTCTGGCGAACATTCCTTGGAAGTGGACATCTACTTGTAAGAATACAGGTTCCATGCTTGAGGATGCAGAAGCACCTCACAAAAAATGGTTTATCGATGAAGTGTTGAACAGTGGAGGTAAAAGGGTTCTTTTATAAAGCGTATACCGACAGTAAGAAGGAAGCGACTAATTAATGACATGACATTAGACGAAAGTCACAGTCAGCATCCGATGTGGTGTTAGTAGAAGGAGGTGGACTTAAAATGACCGGCTACCCCTTCACAATTGAAATAAGGACTTCATCGACCCGACAAATAGTAATTCGTTACCTTATTAAACCACAAAATAAGTTAAGTGGCTAAATAGGTAAACCCTAAAAACATTATAGGGCCTATACGTCATTTTCCCTATTAATAATATTTGTATCCCAATTGATTTTAGCATTATCCTTATAACTGCTCATTTTTCAGGGTGATATTCAAGAAAAAGTAAACGAGTTGCTCGAAGAAATAAATACTTTGAACAAGGATAATGCAAGATTACAAGCATAGGTACATTTTTGGTGTTGTTTTTATAAGCATATGTGTATAATATTTATCGCTTTCTGTTGTAAAAATATAAAGATAAGGTGCTAGAAACTAGAAAGTGTGTTTTATTTGTTCTGATGTGGAAAATAAACCAAACCCTTGCAGGTGATTGACCTGGAAGCATCCATACATGATATTTCCCACCAAAACCAACAGCCGAAAGAACAGAACACGTGTCTGTTCTTCAGTCAAAGATTCAAGACCTTGAGAATTCCATGGCTGCCAATTATCATCTAAAAAGTCAAAGTCACAGGTTTGTCTCATTTTTTTATAACCTAACATATTGTACTATAATTTATATAGTTTTTTAGGTGATGATCGATTTTTGTTTGGTGGTGTAACATATTGTTATGGAAGATGAGGAGATGAAGACACAACTGGAATCTGCGAGGGGTTTGATTGAGAAACTTATTTTTGAAAATGAGAAGGTTATTGAGAAAGTGAACAGCTTAAATGGTGAAGTAGCAACAATTGAAGATCCAATGGTCACAAATTCTGAAGTTGATGATAACTGATGATATAATTATGTAGTCCATGAAAAAATATAATTATATAGTGAACTGTCTAACCCCGCCGAGGATACATCCCTAGTTTTAATTATTAAAGTAAAACTAAGTTTGTGTTTTTCCAATTTGTTGCTGCAATCCCAAGCTTTTAATGAATTAAATATAAAATTAAAGTAAGTAGAAATTTTATTACTTATCGTGGATAATATATTGTCAAGTTGGCTCTTTGAACAAATGCTTTCAACATCTTAAAGTGCTCTCGAAATGCTCTAAATTATGTAAACGACCAAATCCAACATGGCTTTTTCAAAGATATGTTTGCAGTGAACTTGAAAAGTCCCAACGGTGGCTCTAACGAGTAGGAGGAACATATAAATCAATAAAAGAATTGAATGGGATTGTATGCTGATCAAATTAATTAGTATTTTATCATAAATTCCATTATTATTATTTAATCATGAACCAAAGGGTTTTTAACCAAGCGTATCAATTTTTGTGTCAAGGTTGAAGTCTGATTTGAGACATTGAATTATGAATGTTTTAATGTATACATTAACCTGATAATTCATTAAAAGTAATTTTAAAATACAACGGAATTAACTAATCCAACATTAGTAACATAAAATTCCAATTTAAATATAAGATCATATCACCTATTTATGATAGTTGATACTAAATTCGTAGAAGAAAATCAAATTCCAAAACGTGAACTATTGTGTTGCGTAATACTGTTATTTTTATATGAATACAGTACTATCTCATAAAATAAAACGAACTTGGTCAAATATCTAAATTCTAAAATAATAAACCTGAGAACAAATGAAGCAAAAGCCTTTTTTATGAAGACGATAAATATTACAAAAGACCCAACAAGTTACATAGATTGTTTGTCGAGTATGACATGAACAATCGAATTAAAATACAAGTTCTGATCGTACAAATAGACGAGGATTGAAACACAATAAGATAAGGTGCAGTGAAAACATCCAATTCAAGGGTCTTTATTCTTGTTCACATGGAACTTTAATTAGTTGCATTGCATGTGCAGGTTAGTCTCGATATCTTTGGTGACATTGAGGCAAAACTCCATCAAAGTGTTTGGATCTTTAATGTTTCCATTAATCTTCTCGTATGTCAACGTCCAAGTCACGAAGTTCTTTTCTTCCTTTGTGTCTACTTGAACGGTCAATAAGAAGGTCTTATAAAATTCCATTAGAGCACCATCGACCACCTTGAAGGACACTGATTTTTTTTCCTCGTCAATTGCTTCAATCACTTCCTTAGCCACACATGTCTTCCCATCTATTTCGTATAACAGTATAAGACCATGACACACGGAAAACATTATACAACAAAAGAATACTATGTCATTTTCTTCTTGGTAAGAAGCTAAATAATTAAATCGTGGTAGAAAAATGTTTAAAGATTAGGAGACGTACCAAAAATATAGTTCCAAGTCATTCCTGATCCGACATAACCCCATTCACCACCATTGAGATCAACACTTTTGATGTTCATAGGGCTCATGTAGGATATATGGTTAGGTTTGTATCGAAATAATTCATAGAACGCGTCTCAATCGGACTTGATTGATGTTTCTTAACCAACTTTCCACATAGAGCCATCTCTCTTTGCTTATTTGAATTATGAAAGCTTAAACTTTGAGATGAAAACCTTTACGAGCCCCTTCACCTTCATATAGTGATATTTGGTTCCTTTCCTACCAATGAATGGCATAGAGAATGCTTTACGAAAAAAGATGTTCTTGTAAGTTGTTATAAAGTAAATTGAATAACTTTATTTTGCATGTCAATAATGTCAAATCCGATGCCTATTTGCCTAATTAGGTGCACGATGTGTCTAATGTGAATAAGAATGGAAACGAAGTCCGGTTAGAATTGGCTTATTAATGATTTATTGTTAGTGCACATTTGTGGTGTCGGTCTCGCTATTGTGTGCACATTAAATTTTGAGTCGATAAAGAACATTATCATGCGCTGCACATCCGTACCATTCTGCGGAAAATTTATAAATGATTATGTAACAAAAAGGTAGTTTATAAAAGAAAACGGAAAAATCTTTAAAAGAAACTCGTAAAAAACAAAGACGTAAAAATATGAAACTTAAAAAAGATAGTTTGTAAAAACAAAGATTTAAAAAAATTATAAAATAATAATTCGTCAAAACAATGTTTTATATAAAAAAAATGTTTAAAAAGTTGTAAAGAAAGTATTAGAAGAAACTAAATTTTTAAAAGATACACAAACATTTAATTGGAAACTTTTTTATAAAAATAGTTGGACCAATTTTTTTTAATAAATAGTTTAAAATGGTACGGTACTGTTAAAATATACAAGAAGACACTTAGTGAAAAAAGAATTTGGGGACCTAACATAAAAAATCTAATCACAAAGGTGGATGATTTTTTTCCAAATAGAAATCACCATGTGTTATTCAGTATCGCGACACGAATAAACCTTTTTGATCGCTAATGACGACGCAATTTCACCAATCGCACCATGATTTTTAAAGGAAGCAACAGGAAGATTATTTGTCTACTTGCATGGGTTTGCCAATTGCAAGTGATTAGGGAATTTCTGGCCCTAATAGTTTACTAATTTGTAGATTTGTCCAACTCAATTCACGACACGTAGTACAACATGTTGTATCGTAGTGTGCTTAAGCGGAAAATCAAAATTTTGCTACTCTTAACTAGTTTGGTTACTCATGTTTTGCTTATTGGGCAATTGCGCGAAAAAAATCCGGAAAAAATAGCCTAACGGATCTCGAATGTTTTGTTTTCGACAAACCGCTTCTTGCATGCAAAAGATTTATTCAAACATTAATTCCTTCAAAAAATTGAGGCCTCTGGAGGATAGCAGCAACATGAATTTTTCTCAGAAGTATGTTTATCCTTATATTATTTTATATTTTATTTATTTTTAAAATGATACTTTTCGTCTTTAGATTTTTGCAGAATAGTTTGAGCCTTATGTTCATGCTGAGACTAAATTAAATGATTTGGACGCATTTGGAAAACTCGAAAAAGAGCGGAGCTTATGGAAAAGTTTGAAAGGATAGGAGTTGGTTGCACATAAGTAAGTGATTATCTCACTAGGAGGAGGAAAAAAACTTATGAAGAAAAGGAGGTAACCGATGTTGGTTGATTTTTTTTTATTTAAATTTAGTTTTTAGTTTAGTCCACACAATTTTAATCTATCATTTGAATATTTATCAGTAATGATTTCTAAAAGTTAAAAGAGAATTTAAAAAAAGAATATTGATAAAAAGAAGGTTATGGAAGCAAATCACGACGAGATAACAAGGATTCGAATGAAGAAACAGAACTACTTGAGAAAACTTAACTTTGTCGCAATTCGCATCGCGTCTCCGGCGTGTCGTGCCAAGATTTAGGGCATATACAAGTTATATATAATGATGTCAAAATCCAATTATAATTCATAATTATTTATATCTGTTTAGAAATTAACATCTTATGTAGCTCTTTCCATGAAGATCCTTTTTAAACTGATTGTCTCATATACATTCTTTTAGTTCTTCTAAAGTACAACATGATCAAATACCATGTCATATGCATAATATGGCGTAAATGATTAATTCATTTGCCAATCAAATAGAATATAAATCATTTCATCGAGTTCAAGCCTATGAGCTATGTACTTTTGAGGCTAGCTCAAAATGGTGTCATATGACAATGTCAAGAATTCTCCAAAAGAATTTTGTGTCTTGATCCCTTTCAAGATATTGTCAATATATGTATAAGGACATGAAACTTTTAAGATTCAATTTATCTATCGCCTATATATTTTACATTCCAAGAATGTATCATTTCCTTCTTAAGTCTTTTATTTTAGAAACACTTTCCGAGTCAAGGTGAAAACGACCTTGCTTAGTCCGAATGTGATTTCAAATGATTAAGTATGTATCATTCATACAAGATTAGGAATTTCACTATGCTCCTACTAGTTCTTAGTAAACACACATGTTCTATTCATGTTTATATAAAAACATACCTTGTGGTTTTACATAAAATGATGATTGTAACATTGAGATGTTTGCTTTATATACACAAGTGGATCTCAAGCTCTACACATTTTGTTTGGATAACTTGGATTAAGAAAACCTCCAGGCTAATCTATATAGATATCTTCCAGTAGATGTCTATTAAGAAAAGCCGTCTTTCTTGAAATCTCTTTACTATATCTCATATTAAGAATATGAATTTATAGCAAATAATATCCTTGTTGAGCTAATCATAGCTACCTGTGAACAAGGTTTGATCACAGTCAATGTCATGAGTATGATGAGGACCATAGTCAATGACATGAGTATGAGAAAATCCTCTTACTACAAGTCTTGCTTTAAATGTGTATGGTTATCCATGTAATTTATTCTTTCTAAAAGAATCATTTACTCCTTCTAGCCTTGCTATAGGGATAAATTTTAATCACGCCCATTCTTGATTATCATACATGGATTGCATCTCATGTTCATGACTCTAAGTCATTTATCAGATTCAGATCTGACATAGCATCTTGGTATTTGATGGTTTTCCAGAAACCATCAATAAAATATCATCAATGAGAGATTCCACATTTCTCAAGTCATAGATGATTTCTACCACTAATGCGAACAATTTGTGTTTGTGAATAGCTATTATTCAAGTATAACAATCCTTGTTAAAATTAGTGCCAACTATTACTACATAAGGTTATGGTTCTTGAGCTGTTTCAAGTTCCATGTACCTCCCACTTGCTTTTTCATTAGAAGCTTGCTTTTTACTAACTTAGCTTTCACAAGAATAAGAAAACTTATTCTTGGTCGGTTTGCATATGATAATCTAACCCACATTTAGAGTATTAAACAAATATATATTTAGTCGATTTTGGCTTTAAAAGATTTAGTCCAACATCGGCTTCAAATCCAAAAAACACTAATTAAGATGAGGATGGACCCTTTCCATACTAAATCTTATAAAGTGTTTAATGTACTTGATAGTTGGTATTTGTATTCAAGATACAATCAATAGTGATTGAAGTATTATCCCAAAAAGATTAAATGAGGATATTTCTACCGATTAGAAAGTAAATCATACCAAGTAAGATTTAATTCATCATTTATTATCATTAAGGCCTTAGATAGTTCTTACCGGTTTGTATCACAACTTTTGCAACCTTCAACAAAGATTTTACAATTATATTTTACCATTTAAAATCACTACAAGAAAAATGGGCATCTGTGACTAAAATATTAGAGAATGATTAATCACTCTTAGATACCATGTATCTGGGACTGATGAATCAGTCCTAGATATTATCTGGGACTGAGGACTGATTTTAATGTGTAGATTATTAATGACTAACCATGCTTATATGAGACTGAAATTCAGTCTCTAATATGTTATGTCATTTTATATTTGGAGTGAAACATATTAGGGACTGAATTTCAGTCCTTGATAAACTTGTGCTAGTTTGATTTCGTACGTTATTTATTAGGGACTGAATTTTTGTCTTTGATAGAATTGCATTAATTTCTCCTTTGTATGGAAACTAATTAAAGATTGTATTTTAATATTCGAGACTGATTATTTAGTCACGAACATCATATATCTGAGACTGATGGATCAGTCCCAAATACCGTTGGGAAGGAAAAAAATTAGGGACTAAATTTCAATCTTGGATAAACTAACACCAAATTTAATTTTGGAGTAAAACTTATTCGGGACGGAATTTCAATCTCTAATAAAATTATCTCATCTTTGCGTTTAGAGGGAAACTTATTAACGACTGAATTTTAGTAACCGAGACTAATATTAATAATAGTTATTAAAAATTAGGTTTCTTAAAAAATATTTATTATAACATAGAATTTACAAAATGGACTTTAATGTTCCCGTCTTCGACGTGGTACTTTATGAAATGATATCGAATTGGACTTTAATGTCCCCGTCTTCGACTGGATTGTGACAAATGCGAATGGAACTTTCTAAATCACAATACAAAGGTATTTTCTTCATATTGATTTCATAGTCTCGTAGTTGGCTTTGAATCCAAATTACTTGTGATATGCACGCAACAACAACCACATACTCTGCTTCTGTAGTCGAATTCGAAACACAAGTTTGCTTTTTTCATTGCCAGCTCACAAGCTTTCCATCCAATAATTGACATCCTACAGTTGTGCTCTTTCGATCAAGTTGTCATCCACCTAGGTCCGCATCAGAGAATGCTTGGATAAAGAATCGTGTCTTCGAAGGATACCATAATCCCAACGAAACTTTTCCTTTGATGTATCGAAAGATATTCTTAACAAAATTGAGATGGGGTACTCTTGGGTTCGATTGGTACCTGGAACAATTACATACAACAAATATAATATCAGGTCGACTTGCAGTAGAATACAACCATGGGCCAACTACCATAGGTACTTTAAGTTTAGTGTTATGCGTCATGCCAAACTTTTCAAGCAAATTTTGTGTATATTTCTCTTGATTAATAGAAATGCCTTCCTTGCTTTGATGAATATGCAAGACCAAAAAGTTATTAATTTTCCCCATCATACTCGTTTCGAATTTACTTTTCATGAGTTCCACAAATTCCTTAGATAATAAAGGATCAGTTGAACCAAAAATAAT